ATATATATATATATATATATATATATATATATGCATTTAAGAAAGATCATACAATGAGCTAGTATTAATTGAATAAACGATTTCGAATGTTGTCTGACCATATATCTATTTCCTTTTAGGTATCTAGACCAAAGGGACGCAAGAGAATTAATGTCATTGATGTCTCAACCCGCCGAACCATTGCTTCGTACGATGCATCCAAACCCAAGCAGGTTCGATTTAAGAAGGAACTGACTGAAACCGTTTACTTTAATGCACCAACAAACTTGAAGGATGGACAAATGTACTACGTTGAGGTTGAGAAAGGTTTTGCAGAAATTTCCGTCAACGATGCTTGCTTCAAGAGCGCAACAAAAGCCAGCGACGAAGCTGGACTCTTCTTTCACACTCGTAAGTTCCAAAGATTGATATATTTGCAATTTGAAGTAATGTCGGAGAAAATTACCATTAAAATTTTTTAATGAAATATAGAAGATTAAATGAAAAATGGTTACTAAATAGACAAAAAGACAACAATATAGCCAACATCTAAAGCCGGTCTCACACGTTGCAATTTTCGCTTAAGCTGCTCTCTGACGGCACGAGCGGTCTAAAAAAGGTGGGGCATGCTGTGAGAGGTATTATGTGAACCACAGACAATACAGATAGTCGTATGGAAGCGTACTATATCGTAGAATTCTGAAAAAAAAATTAAAGATGTAGGCGTTTGTGGCATAGCGCAGCTTTTCATAAGCAAAATCACAACGTTTAATACCGGCTGTAGACGCATTACTTGCATTCAGAAGAAGTGTTTAAAATGTAAATATCAGAATCACAAAACTTTTCACTGAATTTATTTTAAGAAAGTAGGCCTACATCTCACTAACACCTCTATATGCTCTCTAATAACACATCATATTTTGATAAAATTACTCGCATTTCAGCTAAACCAAAAGAACCAGTTGTTGATTGTGGCGATCACGAGATTACCTTCTACCTCCCAAGATACAAAGTTGATGATATGGAACCATCTATGTTCCACCTCCACGATCCAAGATGCAAGGCCAAACATTTGAATGACACCTTCATGGTGATATCGTTCGGATACGACGAGTGCGGCACCCTTATCAAGGTAGATGTCTGCACGGTTTTGAATAAATGTTTAGAGTTATTAAAACTGGTTAAAACAAAGAAAGCTACGAAGATGGTTATGCTTGCAGCAGCTAATAAAGAATTGAAAATAGAATTCTATCTACAATAAATTTAATGTGATAGTCACAGTATTATTAGGCTATTTAAAAGTTAGCGATAAATTTAGTCAGCGTTTTAAACATTAATACGTATTAGAACTTTCAAGGCTATTATTCAACTACCGTTATATCTCCATAGAACAAAGGCACAAAAGAGACCAGATTCTACAACACCCTCAGAGATGACCCTGAGCCATACGAACCAAATTCACCTATCTCACGAAAGAAGCGGCGATTCGAGATGAAGATCAAGTGCGTAATTACAGGAATTGGTGTTTCCGACATCTTCTACGATCCTGACACGGTCGTCAAACCAACGAAACACAGAGGACTGGGACGCATGAAGTCTCACCTGACACTCTACGAAGACTCTTCATACAGCAGCGCTTACAAAGTGAAGGCTAACCCAGATGTTGCTCTCAACCAATCATTGTATTTCTCTGTTAAAGCAGTTGACGAGTCAAAGGAACTTCAAATTATGAGGTGTTTTGCATTCGCAAGGGACAGAACTTGCAGCAAGTTTGATGCTAAGTACGAATTTGTTACCGACGGGTAAGTTATCATCTATAAGATAATCTTGTAGTTCAACTGTACTTGTCGAAGGTTGAAGTATAAGTAAGCAAAACATATCGTCTGTATTTCATTTGTATAACAAATTATATCGAAAATGCAAGACAATGAATAAAAACTTAATAATAAAGCAATGTTATGTCCAAATGAAACAGATCACTTAACCCGCTTTAAAAAGTTATCATAGCCAATCAAACGGCTGTGATTTCGGTCAATATTAATCACATTACACGTACTATTTTGACAACTAATTATTACAGGGTATTTATTTCGGCCTATTTATAGGCTCCTGATACTTTTCCACATTCCAACTTGTTAGACAAGGCAATAAAAAACCTAATGTTTAAAATGTTTTCAGAAAATCATTCGGCTTTATGAAAAGTGATGCGTCTTTATAGGGCTCATTTTCATGTTTGGAGTGTGATTTTTATTTAACGCCTCTATCAAGGGATGCGGCCCCTCAGCCGAAAACTTCTTAGGCCAAAATCGCAAGTAAATTTGCCTCCCGCTAGTGTTCGGCAGCAGAGCACCGAGTTAGGTTATGAACGTTATCTATGAGCAGTTTACTGGAAAAGCTGAAAAACTGCCGGTATTCAACGTAACCGATATATGCCTATGACGTTTTCACAATTGTTTCATTAAAATTACGACAGTGATAATGATAATAATAACTCATTATTTTTAATCATTTAGATGTCCGGTTGATGATACTGTTGAGATGCAATACAGCCATTTAGAATACGAAAAACGTTTCAGTATCTCTGCTTTTGCCTTCCTCAACTTCGGATACGATGACAATGTGAGTGAAGTTACAAATTGCGTGTTTCTTACATTACGGATATTAAATAAATATGGATATAAATATATACATTTAAACAGAAATATAAAACTATAAAATTTCTCTATTTACCAGGTTATTGTGAAATGCAGCGCAGTAACCTGCAAGAGGAACGACCGCCAATCCGCCTGCGCTCAATTGGAAGCGCAACGAAGAAGCTGCGTTAACTCTAGAGGGCGTAGAGCAATGCCCATTGAAAAGCAAGCAACTGACGAATACCTTGAGACGTTGCTTCCCATCAACCTCGTCTAAGGCTCAACGAAAACGTTTCAAACGTAATACAACATTTCCAAACAAATATCAATGATTTCTGACGTTATATAATAGATTCCCGATTAATGCGTTTCCTTTATCATTTAAATTTCAAATTGAGCAACAAAAAACCAATAGCATTTGTATAAAGAGGGGATGTGGAATGAGATAGAAAAACGAAAAAGTTTATCAATGTTGGCGTTGCTATCGGAAAGTTATTCTAAAATGATAGCCTACAAAACAAACTTCCTCACAACTGTCACAGGTTGTTTCACTTTGAACAACTGTTTATGTTGTACTATAATGTTCTGATACTCGATATTTATAAATAAAATTATACTGACAATAATTCTGCAAAATGTGAATGCACGTCTTATTTATTTCAAATATATGAATAAAATTGATATTGCAGCCACTATATTTTAACTGTTTTACTATTTGTTTCTACAATACACAGAAATGATTGTGTATGTGTGCATAATGATCTGATTTTCACAACATTTATCATTCAATGATCAACTTTCGTTAGCACATAATGAATACAAACTAAGTAGGTTTATTTACAACAACTAATGCTATAAAAGGCTAAACCTTGGTGCAGGTACATTTATAGGATTCATAGAATTAAAAGCAAATCACATTTAGAATAAACAAAAA